TAAGTAATAAATTTTTTAAATTTTATAAAAACTTTATTCTAAATATATAATATTATAAAGAACATTTTTTATTAATACATGAAAGGTGATTTATCTAACAAAAAACAACTTCTATATATATAAAATCTTTTGTTTATTATTAATAACTTATCACTAAAAGTTTGATCCTCTAAATCTGACAAATTAATCCTTTCATCATCTTCATCTTCTTCACTCAACTCAAAATCAATTAACTTCAAATATTTTTTTGCTTTTTCTAAGCATTTTTTCCAACTTAAGATAATAGTATCAGACTTAACTTCTTCTTGAAAAGCACACAATAATGCATTACATAAAAAGAGAATATCTGGTAATTGTGGTTGACTTCTAATCTTGTTTTTTACTACTTCTCACACTTTCTCGATTGGCTGCAACTTGCAGTGATATGGAGAAGTAAAAAGTAATCAGTGATCAAATTTTTTGGCAATAATAACAGAAGTAAAAAGTATAAATTTTTTTTTTTTTAATTAACTCATATAACTCGATTTTTGTCATATGTTTGTCAAATTGAATATTTTTGGTCTCTGACCATTCAATCGTTGCAGACTTATTTCAGTTAAAAGTTGGCATATTTTCACTACAATGCTTGTGATACCTTGCATCATCCATATAGATAATACAAGGACCATAATTAGAAAAGAGATCTGTACATAATTTTTCAAAAATTTTTTTAAATGATTCTGCATTGAAATTTCTATGATAATTAACTTTTCTGAAACAATACTGGCTGTCTTTATAGCATCTAGAACTACTTCTCATATCTCTGTATTTTTTTTTCCTTCCTTTTCTAGTTCTCAGTTTTGCAGAAGGATTCCAAATAAGAAAAGACTGAAGAACTAACTCATCTTTTATTTGATTATCTATTCTATTCTAAAAAACAATAATTGTATCAAAAATAACAAGCATTGGTCTCTTTCCTTTTTCACAAACTACTCCATTTTTTGAAAGCCAGGTTAAACTCTGATTATGTTGCATATGACAATAGAACTTATCAAGAAAAACTTCTGAAAGATCTGGTATGTTATTTTTATTATGAAAGTTTTCAAATCATTGACAAGATAATGCGCCCTATAAGCTATATTTTGAGGAGACTCATGTAGTATATTTTGCTACTCACCTTTTCCATAATAATAGCCAAGATTTTTTAAATCATGTGAAAGTTGTGCTTTTGAAATAAAAAAGTTTAATTCTGATAATTCAAAAACTATCATTTGTAAGGTAAGTTAAAGACCACTTTAGTTTGCAGAAGAGATAATATCATATATGGCATTTGCATAATTTGCTGAAAATTCCTGAGGGGACCGTTGGCCTTGTTTTGATAATTTAAACTCTCCTGTTTTATTAAATTCAGCAAGAACTTATGAAATAGTTCTTTTACTAACTTCTGTTGCTAAAGAAACTTCTTTGCGAAGACTAAATTTTTGGTGCAACTGTTTAATAATTTGATTATTTTTTTGAAGATAGTGATAAACAGATATGATCATAGCCTTCTTATTAGTAGTTAGGGCACTAAGTTTACATTGGTTTTGGTCTATTATACATTTTAGAATGAGTAAGCATTAGCTTAAATAATGTGTTTAAATATTTGAATTATTTACTGATATATGAATACTAATTTTAATATATACCAAACTCAGTTTTTGTCAAATAAATTGATTAAAACTCACTAATCTCAGATAAATTCTACTTACCATAAAAGTTTTTATAAAAATAAATAAAATTTTTATTATTAGATTAGTTATTTAAATATTAATAAAAGAAAAATAGCTTAACAGGAAACTCTTTCCCGTAGATCTCAAAACAATAAGTAAACAAAAAAGAAAAATCGCAAAAAACCTAACTAACTAAAGGAC